AATTTAATTGTTTAATCTATTTTTTATCTGTTATTGCTCGTCGTAATTTGAAACAGTAAAAACTATTTGAACCTTCAATTTAATTACTTCTCATATAGAAAATCTAATAATTACTTGGAGAAAAGTGTCATAAGTGAAAATTCTTAATATTTTTCAAAATTATTGTGAAATGCCAAAAAAGAATTAAGAAAAATTTTAATACAAGTTTTCATTGAAATTGATTTTGTTTTTTATTGTAGCTTAAAAATAAATAACACGAGAAACATAAATTACAGTACACCAAATTTTTATTAGCATTTTCTAGTCATGGTATAGTTTTCAAATACTTTGGTCTCTTTGTCCTGTTATGAATAGATTTTTGAAATCATCTTCTTTAATTCATGGTTTTTTTCTACTAAGATTGATAAAAAATTGAATGCTTGTTTAAATAAAATGACAAATTATCACAAGGTTTCTTATTGGTTTTTCTTACCGTCAATATAAGTATATTGACATTTCATTAACATAATATTTATTTATAGAAATTTAACGTTTAAAATTTGACGAAATTGGATGTTAAAACAACAAAAAAAAGAACCGTGCAATTTCAGACATTTCAGTTATTTCACTGTAATAATGTAATTAAACAAAATTATTCATAGGAGCTTAAAACTTCACGCAAAAAAAATAAAAATAATCATTAAAAATATATGCAGACCCTCTAACTCCGCTCAGAATCGATTTTTCGTATACAAAATTATATATATATATTGTCATTAAATTAAAAATTAACACATCTGTTATACTCAATAACAAAGTATATTCAAGAGTACCATTAAACCATTAAGCGAATACCCCAGTTTTTGAATACATTTTTAAATATATTTATAATTACTTATAAAGTTAAATGTTATTAGATAGGTATACAATAGATACATAACATATTTGTTAAAAAAAATAATGAAAGTCATGTACTTATTTACTGTGTCTCTATCGTGGGAGAGGTTCACCACCAGATCCGATTTCGATCATCGAAAACCTTTGTCTTGGATCGTAATTTGATTATGTTTAAAGGAGTCATTCAGAATAAATGATCAAACTCAACTAATCGGTGAACTGTGAAACAAACAAAGCGTTATTCCTTATTCATAAGATTATACGTTACTAACTGATATCAAAAACAGGAGATTAAACAAAAAAAAAAAAAAAAACTTATAAAAAGCTTAAATTAATATTATAAGTAGGTACGTACATTGTCATAGTGAAAACTTTATTTTCTTTTTCGATCGACATGTCATTTGTTTATTTATTTACAGTCAAGCACCCTCAACAGATAAATACAGACAGTCTGTCAAGTCTGCCATTGTTATACATCAATAGACGTAACAAATATTATAATATTATAATCGAATGAAATGATAATTTGGTTTTTCGTTCTTCTTATAGTATTATTATTATTATTATTATTATTATCGCATACACATATCTACCTTTAACATACGTAGGTCATGGATGAGACGTATATTAAATCTCGTGTACAAATATTAACGTATTTTGGTTCACTTTTTGTAATGTAGGTAGTAAGTACCAAATAATAATATTTTCACAAAGAAAACACGGGTTTATTTGCTCAACATACCATTTATAATAATAATATATATTATAATAAAATGTTACGATGGCGTACTTACCTATACGATGTATAGGAGATACTTACCTACGCATTATATTATATAGTATTTATTTACATCCGTGTACATTCGAGTCGTTTACTTATGTGTAATTGCATCATTTCGACCGAAAAGTATACATAATTATGTTTATTTTAATTTAAATGTAAATTATATGCAATGTTGCAATGTAGAATTTACGTATATATTATATTATACGCTCGTGCTAGCTGAGCACTATAGAAATGGAAAATATAGACTCCGCATATATAGCACGCCTTAATAATATTTATGTTTATGTTGTTAGACTTCAAGCGACGACGTACACATAATATTATTATCGATCCAGTGTGATGTTTGGAAAATAATTTTCAGCGCATTACAACGATAAACGAAATCGTTTTTGATTATTTTTAGAATGTTCGTTATTATTACAATTCTTGAATTACATTTTTAAAATTATTTAATTAACATAACGACAGTTTTTAAATAGTGCATATATATGAATACAATAGATACATCATATATTTCTACTAGTCTTTTCTTTACCATGTCATATTAGATCTTAGTATAATGTATATTATAATATATTGTTAAATGAGATGTATAATTATATTATATATTTTATTTTAATTCGTATACAACAATTTATTATTATTGTACGTTTTTATCGAGGTAAGCCCGTAGGGTGTTTTACAAAATATCCATCATAAGTAGTTGTAAAGTAAAAGATTTTTTAAACATATTAAATATTTATTATACCTATATAACATAACATGAGACGGATAACCCAGCTTATTGTTACATAAATTTTAAAATATAATACACGGGGATGTAAAAATTTATTATGAGTCGTATTAAATGAAATTTTGTTTTTTACGACATTGTCAAAATGTACCTAACATTATTTTTGATGAATGATTTAAAGATAAATGGTTAAAATGCATACTTGTGTGAGATAAATATTGTTTTTAAATAAATACCAAATTTCAATTATTTTAATAGCGATTTCCTATTTTAAAACTATAGTACTGCATAGCTGATGCAGTATAATTAACATCATAGCTTATTGGTAATAGACTTCTAAGAGGAATTGTAACCTAATATTCTTTTTAATGAAAAATAAACTTAATTTCGTATGTCATATTGATAAATTCAGTAATGAGATAATTAATCCAAAAACATATTATAATATACTGTTTCATAAAGTAATGTCGTCATGATATCAAGTTTTAAAACTATAGGTAGAAAACTTAAATACGATGTATATTATAAATTATAGCACATAAATCGGAGAATCTGCACGACATAAATCAATTTTTGCTTATCGTCAAATCGAATATAAAAATATGGTTTATAATTAATTATTTACAAGCAATACATTGTTTATAAATCCATATAATAAGTTTTCCGTGTATCCGTGTCATTTGAGCTGAAATTGAAGTCTGGACAAATATATTGCAAAATGAATGTGCAGACTCGCAAATAAAGTAAAATACCATCATAAAAATGTATGTGCTTTATATAATAAAACTATTATTTTTTATGTATATTAAATACTTTAATCAATATTATATTTGTTAAACTTTTATTGTTATTTTTTGTTTAAACATTATCGTTTATCTGTCGGCTGTGTTGGACAGCAACACTATATACTTTATATATATGAACACGTATGTGTGCCTATATAGTTAGGTAAGTATGGTTTATATATATTATGTATGACCGCGCGTCGTATCGGACTGCGATATGGCGAGGCGGCGGACGCTGGGTCTCTTCGGAGTTAAGTCCCGCAGGCGTTTGGGACGTTTTAAATCATTTTTTATGTTCGTAATTACAGAGTGGAACGGGAACGAAAAAATAAATACAGGAATATGAATATATATATATATATATATGGAGGTCTCGTGTATATATATAAATATAATGTACCGTTCAGTCTCGCTCATATCTCACCAGACGAGCACGAGCCGCGTCCGAGGGACGACCGCTAACCGACCATATCATATTTTATACGTTTAAATGCTTATATGTAAGTGTATTTATTATTATCATAATAGACCGTGTGTTTTGTATTAAATTTTTATGTTTGGATAATGTGAATAACATAGTCGTATTTGCCTAAAATACTACAAGCTCCGTGATCGTAGACTTTACACGTTATGTTAACATAAAATATCTTTCTGTTTTATATAATTTGACGGTACTTGCGGTAGAAAATTTTCAGCTCAAGTGCCCAAACAAAGTTTAAACTTTGAAGTACCATCTGATATAAAAAAAAAAAAAAAATTATACATAAAAACTGAATACAAAAATAAAATAAATGTCTATGTATAATTATTCAATTCATACCACAAAAGTATGTGAAAACACATTATTTTTGATCAAAATAAAAATAATTTATTATCGATGTGGTCAAATGAAAAATTCCTCCCCGTGTATATCAAAAAAAAAAAAAAAATTATTAACTGTTGATAAATTGTTTTACAGTCTTACAGAAAATATATATTTTTCAATTTTTATTTATCATAATTTGATGTAAGTACCTATTCAAACCATTAATAGGCCACAATAAAAAAAAAACGTACGTAAAAACATGCTTTCATACTACCAATATTATTATATAGTAATCAGAACTTAAGTTTAAAGCCTCGTTGATGAGAATTCATTATTATCATTTAAACATTCAATTATGGCCTTAAATTGCCTACCTAACGCGCCGTACACATTTGAATAATTATTTAATATTATACAGTAATAATTTGTTGATACTATTGTTCAATTTTTTTAATTATTAGTATAAGAAAAAGTTTGATTTCACAATTTGAATTTTCTACGCTCTTATTATTCGAGTATTAAGATCGTTGGTATCTTGTTTACTTTATGATTAATTTACAATTACTATAATACCGAATACCAAATATTTATCTAATATATTTAATTCTTATTAAACTGTTTACATGTACACACTAATATCTATAATTTAGTAAACCATGTAAGATTGGTACGACGATATATTATGTAGACTTTAACTTAATATCGATATTTTAAATCATTATTCTAGTGGCGAACAATTAATATTAATAAATTAATATTCTTTTATTTTAAAATGTGTGATTGAACATTTAAAAATATGTTAATTTTCTTCCATTAGTATTCAATCGATGGGTGTAAAAAAACAGGATTTTGGTTTATTCAACAATGATCAATTTATTATTTTATTTAAATTGCCGCGCAAAGTATTGGAACGTTAAAATTATGTTTATACCGCAGTTATAGTCACAGTGATAATAAATGGCGGGAACTCGTCGTCCGATAAGACGTGATAAACGATAAACATTAAGTGTAAAACTGTGCGTGAGAAAAGTATTGTTGACTGTTGTACTTGTTATGAGCAAGTTTTGTCAACAGTTTCAATTATTGTGATATTCTTGTTTCGAGTCACAACTCCAAACAAAATTGTCAAATCATAACCCTTTATAAACAGTAAAATCCATGACTGATCAGTTAAAGTCAATTCTATTACTGCGATTTCTGCTAACTACGTTTAAATAATAATCCATCATCTGCATTCAGCGTCCAGACGATGGTTGGACGTACTGCAAAGAGGTCATCGGATGACTGCGTTTTTGCCGACACCAAGAAGAAGAAAATTTCTAGAGAAAAATTAGAAGCGGAAGTGGCGGTACCCAATGAAAAATCATCCGCACATTGCAATGGGGATTTAAGGCAAAAAAAGGCATTTTTTGCCTATTTCGGTAAATCGTTTGATGACGGCAAAAATAGTAGTACCAGCTGCAATGGCAGTAACAAAAAAACTTCCGACGTCCACAACAATGTGACAAAACCAATCCCCATCACTAAAACCATTCGTGATAATAATTCAAAAACACCAGTCATCAACGTAAATAAGAAAATCATTGAACTGCCCACTGATGCTGTTTGTATAATTAAGTATGATATATTTTTACAATTTTTTATACCTGAATTATTGTTTTTCAACATTTTATCTTATACTTTGTAGGAGGAATGCCAATTTGTCTTATATCAGCAGTTTTGTAGAAGAATTAGGATGTTTTCCTAAAATCACGCATACTAACCATTTATCATCTTTAAAGTCTTCAGATTCTATCCTTAATTTGAAGGAAGAAGTATTTCATGAGAATTGTATTAAAAACTCTATTCTTACATTCCAAACTGTCCTCTCCCTGCCAAACCGTCTAGTATTAGAACCTTACCAAATGGAAATTAATTTTCCACTCATGATATCATCTATAAAAACATCTGTAAGTATTTTGATTTTTAAGAAAAACTTTAAGTGTATTGATATGGACTTGGCACTAAATTTTGTATTTGAAAAGCCACGTGGATGTGCAATATATATTGAATTATTTGGAACTCAGACTTTGATACAAGTGCAATATTCTGACTACTATGTAATGATAAAAATACAGATTTTCTTCTAGAGAAATTTATTAATTTATATTGTCTTCTTACTAATATTTGTTCATAATATTAATAATTATTAAAAATTAATACTTATTATTAATTCAGTCATTTTTCATTGTTTGCCTAAATTCATAAATTTTGAGGTTGGTCATTTTTAATTTAATTTTTTTAACTGACTTTTTTATTCTAACTAAATAGAATAATGTAAACCTCTAATATTGATTCCTAATAGCTTACTTAAAGCGTTGAAGCCACTTGATATCAAAAAATATAAATAAGCAATTTAACTATTACCTATAGATTATTACAATAATTTACTTTATTTAAAAATACTATACAATGTGTCTTGTGATGACTTAAAGTTCTAAACAATACATTTTTATTATTTATCATTTTATACTTGCACAAATGTCAATATTTTGTATAAATACACGTGTTTAAAAATATGGTTATTAATTTATAGGTGATTTTTAATTTCAGGTACCAAATTTTCCAGTTTCAGATTGTCATAAGAGTTTGAAGAAAAAATATTTAATGGCAAAGAAATCTGCTGCAGATATTGAATCCATGTGGATTGATAAATATAAACCAATATGCAAGGAAGAAGTGCTTGGGAATAGTAAACTTGTTAAGGATTTGAAAAATTGGTTAACCCCTAATAAGAATAATTTAAAAAAATCAAAAAATGGTTAGTTATAAATTATAACTTATTATACAACAAACATGAAAAATATATTTTTTATATATAGGTATCTAATAATTTTTCATTTTTAGGTCAAAAATATTATGATGATGATGACTTTATCTTTGATAGTGATAGTGAATCTAGTTGTAAACAACAACGAAACTTAGCAATTTTAATTGGACCAAGTGGCTGTGGTAAAACTAGTGCAGTTTATGCTGTAGCCAATGAACTCAATGCAAATGTAATGCAATTGTTAATTATATTTGTAAATATATTCTTGAAATTAATTTGGTGTTTGATGTGCTGTATAGGTGATAGAGTTGAATGCTTCCTGTAACAGAAATGGAAAACGTATAATTACTGATTTAATGGAAGCTACACAATCACATGCAGTAGAAAAAAACAGTTTATTTAATCTAATAAAAGGTTTTGTATTTATTATAAACTTTATATTCAATATTGTAACTTGAGACAGAGTTTAATAAAATAGATCTGTAAATTTACTATGTAACTTAATATTTTATGGATAGAAATTACAAACCTGTGTATGATATCATCTCATGACACTTTCAATTAAACATTAGTTGTTTCTTTTTTTCTTATACTCATCATCACAAAAATTCACCTTTCATTCATCATTGCCTAACTAAAATAATATTCAATTTATTTTCATGAAATATTACAAATTCTATTTAAAAAATATTAATTTAATACTTAAATATTGTTTAATCTTTTTAAATATAAGTATAGTATAAAATATTTTCTTTATCTATTGTATTAAAAATTAGTAATGCCCAAGGTGTGAGATGTGTTTACACTAAATATAGGAAACAGTTACATACAATCATGTCTAATTTATAATTTTACTTTTATATTGGAGCTTCAAGTTATTAATGATAATAGTTTCCTTATTATTTTATTTTTTATATTTTGAATATTTAGTAAATATTGTTGTATTATATTATACTTAAATGTTAATATGCTCATTGATCCATTCTTTATAATCCATTCCAAAAAAAAAAAAAAAAATAATAATAACAATTTTTAAATATTATTTGTTTTACTTCTAAATGTATAATAATATTTTCCATATTTTAGAAAAAAAGGTAAAAATCAAAAACCGGAAAAAAAAAGAAAAAGTGAATGAAAAAATGACAATTATTTTAATTGAAGATGTAAATATAAAGTCATATTTTTAAGATTTTTAAAATTCATATTAACTAATTGTATTTGTTTCTAATAAATAGGCTGATATACTCTTTGAAAATTATGATGATGGGTTTTTATCAGCAATATCAACTTTAGCCACAGATTCAAAGAGACCACTAGTTTTAACAGCAAATGATCCTTTTAGTAATCATTTGTTAAAATTTTTCTTATCCAATGAAATAACTCTACATTTTATACACCCACTCAAAGAACATTTAAGTGAGTAATTGTAAAATGACAATTCAATAGTTTTTAAATTAATGCATTTCTATTATTATGCTTTAAAATTGTATTAATTTATTTCAGATTGTTTTCTACAGTTAATAGCTCTAAATGAAGGAGTCATTATGACAAAAGACGAAATAAATGCATTTATTCATCCATATAAACCTGACATTAGGCAAAGTACTCTTCAATTACAATATGTTTTGAGTACTGGAGAGATAAATCAGGTAATATTAATAAAACTAAATATTTTACTTATTAAATTTGTTTCTCGATAATTTTTTCAAAATATATATTTTAGAAAACCCTTAATAATCATTCCCCAATGAGTTTAAATTCTATTTGGTGGAATTGGCCGCATATAATTGGTTGTCCCTCAACTAACATCAAAGATAATAAACAACCAAAGTGCAATGTTGATATAGCAACGATATCTCAAAATTTAGATATTATGTCAAAATTAAACTCTATGTATTCAAAAACGCAGGTTTGTAGCTTGAATTTTAGCACAAAGCAAATTATTTCTAATATATTATGCGGTTTTTATGCGTTTTAGAGCTATAATTTTTTAGACCCACAACCATTTTGGCATCACCTTGCCACAAGAGACAGTTCTTGTTTAATTGAACCTCATCATTGGTTCGACAGTTCTGATCAACTTTCCATAGATATTGCTCAATGGACATACAAACATATTAATAAACAAAATTATGTTCCAGAAAAACTTTACCCCACATCTGAGGAATTAAAGTAATTACTAAAATAAAACTCCTGAATGACATTTGTTATATATCTATTAAAGTATGTATAAATATAAATATATTAAACAATAATTTATATTTTTTAATAGGCATCGTCAAAGGATATGGGATGCATCTAAGGACGTTCTACAACAAATAGGCTTAGATTATTGTAATCGCAAAAATGAAACGTGCTATGATTATTTATCTGTTATACGATCTATATATCAAAATCAACATATAAGTCAATCATTTGTAAACCTTAGGAATTCAAAAATGTTTTCATATTTAAGACAGATTAATATTGATGTAAACACTAAAGATTTAAAGTATTTGTGTGACTCTTTTCACTCCAGTTCCAATAACTGTGATCCCCAGTTGGAAATATCTGACCCGTTTTAGTTGATATATATCTGATAGTTTTGGTATAAAATATTTTTAATTATTTATTACTTTTGTATTATATTGATTCGATAAAATTGATCTATCAGTACTTACATTATTTTATATATATTTATATATAAAAAATGTTTCTACATGTATTGATCGTTAGTAATTAGTTTATCTTACATTTAATCATGTTTTAGATTCTTAAATATAAATTTTATTATTTTATAATTTTGGAGAAAATCATTTTATAATGTGTGTAATATATTTTCTATTTTCCTAAATAATATTATTGTGTAAAAGAATTAAAAATATATATATTTCTTGTACTGGTTTATGTAAAATTTAATCTATTTTAAAATTATTATGATCATTTAATTTTATTAATACAAAACTGATATTTTCACTAAAGTTTTCAATAAATACTTATTACCATATGATGTATAAAACCATCATAGTTATGATTATTCATAAGATATTTACTCTAGTCATTATCAACTTATAGTTTCATATCATTATATAATTGTATAAATTTAGCAGATGTTTAAATACTGTAAGATTATTAGATTAAATTATATTTTATAATTTGTACTTGTAATGAAATTTGAGTGTTCTTCTTATTAACATATTTTAATTTTTACATATTAACATTTTAATGTATAAATTAACCTATTTTTAAAATCAAACAATGTTTGTTGTACATAATTGGCTGCATTGCCTTTTATATTTTTTATTATTATTTTGTTTATGTAAACTGCACATCATAATTTTAATTGGATATGTTTAATAGCATAATCAAATGTCATGGAATGAGTAGGGTTTTGTCCCTTCCCAACTACCTCAAGAGTTATAATTTTATGTTATAGTTAAAAATAGTTAAGTATTATAATAATGTAATTCTTAATAATATTCTATTGTTTTAGTATTTATTTTGTAATTCTTGCCCCTAACTCCCAGACTAAAACTTTCAAGTCCTGACAACTGATTAGAATACATAAAAAGTTCTATCTCAATTGTAGCTTTTAACTTTGTGAGTGATGCAATGCATGTAGCCTGGATTTTATTTTGAAGGGGAGTCTGAATAATTTTGAACACAATTTTTAATAATATCGGAAGGTTGGACCCTATAGACCCACTCTCCTCTGGATACACATGTGAGTGGTTCGGTCTTTGATTTGAATGTCAAGTCATAAAACGTAGAAAATCAAAAGTAATGAGTTGAAATTTTGAAAAGCAGCGCTTCTATGATAAAACTGTCTTATCAAATTGTCGATTTAATCATTATCAGTTATCACCTATGTCGAAAAACCGGAAAACGTTATCACGGATTATAGGACATTCAGGTTTATTAGTTTTATTACCATTATTAAGTCGTCAGACGTCGTGAGTCTAGTTGTAAGTTTCTTACGATCTGTTCATTCTGTTCGTTTTTAACACTATTTCTTTCTTAACGGTGTTTGGTCGCAATGGCAACCTCAGCGACCAGAGCGGAAGTTCTCAAAATCTACAAAACCATGTTGAGGGAAAGTGCCAGGTTTTCGTTCTATAACTACAGGTAAGCAAGGTTATTCGAATCAGTTGTCTGATCACCATTTCAACTAATTTATATTTTACATATAGAATGTATGCTCTGAGACGCGTGAAAGATGCATTCAGGGAACAAAAGACGATCAAAGATTCATCAGAAATCCAACAGCACCTACTTCAAGCATACAAGTTTTTGGATATTATTAAACGACAAGTAATTCAATATTTCTAATGTGACAGTTATTTCTGCACTTTTTTATATAGTTCAATCAGTATGCTTTCTGGTTACTTTGTAATTTAAAGGTTATCTGTCATTTTATTTTAGTTTTCCCTTCATTGACTGAAAATCATTATAATTAGGTAAATTTTATATTGCTTATTTTACTTTTATAAATAAGTATTTCAAGCTGAGAAATGAGTATATTTGTTTAGTAAGAAATTCCATTGTTTTATTACATGTCACAAATCACATCATATTTTATGAGTTCAATTTATGAACTGTAATTAAGACATATAAGTATAATAAAATATACCAGTTTGTTGTTTGAACCAAGTTAATATTACATTAAGATATTGTCAAAACTAAAAGTACATATTATAAACTATTAAAAACATGTACAATAATAATTTTATAAAAAGGTAATAATACTAATAAATTATTTAAAATTTTCTTATTTTAGATTCTGAGCTATATGTAGGTATTATTATATTTATTCTTTGTTTCTATGATACTTTTTAGAACAAACAATTTACTCTTAACATTAATGGTGGTTTATGTTTGTAAATTTGATCAAGTTAATACTTAAGAGATCAACATTATTTATCACCTATCAGATTTTGATTAATTCAATTTTGTTTTTTTGTATAATTGAGAAATTAATAAATAGTAAAGCCTTGCAATTTAAATAAAATATTTATGATAGCATTTTTATACTATTGAGATTTAAATACTTTTGCTCTTTTTAAACTACTTGTAGACATGTGAAATTTATGACTTAATTTCTAAGTTAATCTCACAGTAAAAAATGTCAAACATTTATAGCACTTTTTGTTTTTACAAGTGTATTAAATTCAAATTTGAAATAATTTAGAAATAAGGTTATGTAAACACTCTAAGTTAAATTTTAATGTAATTTGTTATGACAGAATTAGTGTATAAAAATGTATATATTTTGTATTTATTTTAATATTTTAATTTTGGAAATGAAATACAAGTAATTTTATCTAATTAAAATATAAAACAAATTATTTTAATTTAAATCATTACTAATAGTAATATAAACCAATTATAAATAATATAGGTATACAAAATAGAGATTAATACACTATCTCTCTCTGCTTAAAACTTTTTCCATACAAAATATTTATCAATAATTTAAAATGTAATACATATATTACAATTATATAGACATTAATTTATGAGATATGCTTAAAAATTACTATAAAGTAAAACAAATACTCCAGTTTTTATGTTTTCTTGGATCAACAAAATTATCGCCTAAACTAAAATTAAAAGTGCTTTTGTACATTCTTTGTTTTAAATAATGTTATTTCAATATTATTATTTCTAAGTATTCTTGGTTTATCTTATCATTGGATTTTAAATACTGTAATATAATAGTAAATAGTTATTATATCAACTGTTTACAATCAATTAAAAAAAAAGTGTAAAGGTTATAGGTAATAATTTATTTATAACACTGCTACTAATATAAGTGAGTAAGTGAGGTTTAATGATCACTAAAATTTATTTCATTAGTAATAATATTTTTAGGTTATTTCTATTGGTATAAACTCATACTAATTATCAATGTATATTTAATAGTAATTTAATGTATATTTCTTGTACAACAATAACACAATATTTGGTAAATAGATAAATAATTAAAGCATAATATAGCAATTGTTCATGCATTAATTATGGGAATAATATTGGATTCTTATTCAATTATTATTAACTATTTATTTCACATTGGTATTTGTAAAATACTTAAATTTAGGTATTTAAAATGTATAGTTTTAAAAAAAATTTTTTAATGCAATACAGAAGTTTATAATAAGTAAAATTCAAATTAACATTTGAATTAACTACAACTTACATTAAAAGAATATATTAATTATATTGTTAATCATTTTTTTTTTTTTTTTTGTAGGCAGTTGTAGGAGACTTGTACAAATTTGATAAACTTATAATCGAAGTAGAAAATGATAAAAAACTGAATGAAAAACATTAGTTTATGTTTGTTTCATGCTGGATTCGGAAAAGAGCTCAGTGTTATTGAATTTATTGGTCAAATTTTCAAATTTCAATACACATGTTAGTTAAACGATGATTGTTCCTAAATTTAATATAAGCATATATTATTATATTAATTAACACCATCATTACTTATATAGTGTGCTATTAAATATATACTTAAATTTGAATACACAAATTTTTGTTAGTCCATTAAGCATTTTATTTTTGTATATTGTAAACCACTATAAATCATAACAGTAGATAAACTTCTTATAAATTATATTTGGTTTTGATAATGTATTGTAATATTGTATAATTATTAGTAATGTTGCATAATGAAGTATAAAATGTATTAAACATAATATTTTTATTGATTTTTAAGTTTTATTTAATTTCTGATAGGTTTAATATCATGTTAATACATGAAAATAAGTGAATAAGTGTATACCTCACTTTGATTTAAGAATATATTATATTATTAAATATATAAATCATAATATTACTTAAGTAAAAAAAAAAAAAATTATTTTCAAACAGCAGTTCTCTCAATAAATGTGTACCTACGTTAGAGTTTACATGAATATTGTTAGCTCATAAATTTTAATTTATTTATCATTAGTTTCAGTTGAAAATTCTATTGTTAGTTCATAAAATGACTAAAATCAAAATAATGCAAATATGTGCGTATTAAATATTAATTGAACAGTAATATTATGATGGTCTTTTCGATAGCATAGATTTTATAAATAATAGATAGAAAAACAGCAAAGTTATCGATATTATTACTGTGTAAGTACTTATTTTTTCAATAATCATAAATCATCATTATAGATTCTGTGCAAAACGATGAATATATTATTAAATTTTCAATGGTTTTTTTTTCTAGTGTTTAGGACATTTTATTGTAAAAATGATTTGATTTTTCAATTTTTGTGGGTAGTTTCTGAAAAGGAAAAAAGATTCCCTGTATTTTGAAAAATAACTGAAAAACAGGAATTTTTATGAAATATAATATAAATATATTTAAAATGTAAAAACTAATAACTTAAGATACCTACTTGAAATTTTTACAAAATGTTTATAATAAAAATTTCTATACTATATGATACTATTTTACTCTTTTCAAGCTATCTGTGTAGAAATTTTCGATTGTTTCTTCTATATTATATTTCAATAAAATAAAAATTTTATGAATCAGAAAATCAATGTTGATATGAAAATTTAATGTAAAATTCCTTATAAGTTGTAATTATTAAGTATCAAAAATACTCTATTTTGATCTAGAACATTTGCAAACAATGCAATAAAAAATTCATATTTTTAATATTCATACTAAAGGCTTTAAAATGTAATACAAGGTTTGCCATAAGAAACTTTTTTTTTATTGACATTTTAAGTTTAAACTTGAACAATTTTTTTGTAATTTATTAATTAAATTATCTGTACCACCAGAAAAATCATTGAAATTAATATACCTACAATATTATTTTCAATTTTGTAACAATCTTTTTTTATATATAATATATTAAGTGACTTAGACAGGACAGGTGGTTGGATGTTTAACTCCCCCCCCCCAATTGTCTTTCCACATCTAATAAATGTATTATTTATATTATTGTGTATTTCATTAATTTTATTTTCATATTGAGATGTTTATTCACAAGTTTACAGCTAAACTTTGTTCTAAAATAGTTCAATAATTGGGCAACAAACAACGAAAACAATGAAAAACTAAGTTTAATTTTCACTCACAAAATCCTGGCTACGCCACTGAATATATACACAAATATAAACAAAACTGTAATATTAATGTATACATTAGACTTTTTCATTTAAATAATTATTCCTATTTATATTCCAACATTGTGTAACCACCATAAATAATTATTAGATTGTTATTCATGAGTCATGACAGTGTTTCCCAATCTATGGGTCGCCAGTTGCGACCTATAAATAGTATAAATTATAATTAAAATATCCATGAAAATAATTTATAAATGCCCAACTATGTTTAATTTGATACCTCTACGTATAATAATAATGTGAAATTTCGCTACTCACTATTATTGTAGATCCTACAATGTAGACATCAATATATGTTTATTCTTTAATAAAGTTTGTATTGTATTTTTGTCTTATCGGTACCTATATGTTGTAATGACTGTCGATGTGGTATCGGTCAATTTTTATACAGTTGAGCAATAAGCAGTACCATAGAGACTAGAGACTATAGAGACTACGAGAGTATATAGGTACAAACGGAAACTTTTAGTTTACGATTAGATACACTCATTTTTAAATACTCAAATTTTATATTGTGTATTTTAAGTTTTAATTTTTCTAATGGATAAATTTTTTGTTTGTAAAACTACATCCGTTGGTGTTTTTTTTTTTTTTAGTGTTGGTGAGGGTGGGTCGTATAACCAACAAGTAGTAAATTTATGAGTCGCTATTACAAAAAGGTTGGCGAACACTGATCTATGGCAACCACAGAATTCTGCGGTTACTAATTAACTAATTCAAAATGTATTTATTGTTTAAAGAAATACCATATGGGAAAATATTTAGTTTATTAGGAAGGATTTAACTTAGGAACTTGGAAGTTGGATTATTGATGGGTTAGGAATTATAGGTCGAGAATATGAATCGGCACCAGATCCGGACTGGAAGGATACCGGCCTACTATTCTCAGTAAGCAGTCGGCCCATGGATAGGTATAATTTAAAAATAAAACCTTATTTTTTTTTGTCATTAATTGTATTTTACTAGAAATTTGAAAGCGAACGGCCTACTGTGTTGTAGAACAGACAACAGTAGCTCAGTGACCCAATCCGGGCTTGTTCAGCACCATCCGAAATCGTGCTCAATTTACAATTACGCCACTTCAATTTTACCACTTTTATTCGTAAGTACTAGAAACGTTTTACGTATACTATTATATTTTATAGGTACATACGTTTTAAAAAGCAATGTTTTCTTCAAAAATTAATTCAATCCATTGTACTGCTATTTATAGACAGATAGTAAAATATATTACTTTGATAGCAATTTAATTACATCATATAATAATAGGTAATAATAATTTTATACTATAATCATATTATTATATTATACTCTATAAATAGTAATATGGACCGACCGCCAGAATCGTTTTTCGTATGCACTACGCATTGTTTTTATAATAATTATTATTGTAAGTACTAAATTTAACACATAAACTACAGTTAAAGTTACTCTACGACGAGAGACGCTCACACTCGACACCACAAGACCACAAGATATATCTCAATGTTTAGTGCGTGGGCGTCGTCTACTTCACGGCAGAACGGTTTCTTTACCTTGCCAGTCTTTTTTTAGTTTAACAGCCGTATTCGAAAAAAAGACGCCAATGACTTGCATTATAGTCGGTGAGTGCGCTAGTGATCGCTAGGTTTTTGTCAGTTTGATGAAAAATAAAATTAAAACCCCGTTTTTTTTCTATTGCCCAAACCTGAGACCGGAATCGCGCATTATTCGCGACCTCCACGATTTAGAATAATCATCCGACTCAACCGTAAATGAACCTTAAATCGCGGTTCCAACTTACAAATCATTACGACGATATTACAGAATAGAATCTGATGTTTATTTATTCTGTGATCATGATACAGTATTATATTGTCCCCCCACACTGGCTGCCTGTAACAAATTGTTATCTCTACGCGTCACCAGCTATCGAACAAAACGAGATAACAATATTGACAAACAGACATCGCTACAGCAGTATCAATTTTAACACTTCAAAAGTGGAACGTTTCGTAAGTTCCGTTAGTAGTGGAGGTACTTGTCGATGTTTTTTGGTAATGCCAAGTGCTAGTTTACGTTCATATCCTTTCTGTTCGCCACACATTTATGACGCCCAAGTACCCGACTACTATATCCGTCGGTCTAAAATCTAAATTATCACCGTTAATTCGTGTCCGCTACCCCACGAGTTCGTTCTTATACCGTCATGGAATTCTTGGAAGATCTGTCACGTCAATTGGAGGACATCCAGCTGGACGTTACCACCGTGAGATCGGAGTTCCCCTGCCCACGGTCGGTCTTGCGATATCTTGACCACGGCAAATCTATGAAGTAATTTATAATAAATGAGTTTAACAGCGTATAAAAAAGTCTTTGTTCATTTCTTGTTTAAGTCTAGGGGTATATCGGCATATTCTGATGGGTACCCTATGATACTATGATATCAAATATACCGAAACATTACACCATGTTAGATAATTTATTATAATTATGTAATATTTATAGAGAAATGAACAAATTTTATAATTAATGTTTCTAGTAAATAAAGATAAAGTACTTATAGAATGTAATAATATCAACTAATAAGTAAAACTAAATTATTTTTTTTTTTTTTTGCCATAGTGATGTTAATAGATTAGCATCAAACTTAGAGAATGGTATAGATATTGAAAATACGCCTGAAAATCAATCCAGAATTCGTACAAAAAAAAGACTACATAGGAGACAAAAACAAAAGTTAAAATCTTTAATTGAGAATCAAAATACTAGTCCCAGTGAACAAAATAGATCAACTAGAGCTGTTATAGAGTATGTATACAGATGATAAAAATAATTTGTTATAATTTATTAAAAATATAGTTTTTTCCTTATTATTTTGAAGGCCATTTATAAGTCATAAAAATTATTACCCTAATTATATGCAGTTAGAAGATGTGAAAAAAGGTCTAGAAAGTGGTGAACTATTTGAAGGAAACATACGTATTAGTCAAAAATGTACTACAGAAGCATATGTTCCATCACCTGTAAGAAATCATTATGAAATTTTTACTTATGATATTTTAATCATAATTTTTTATACTTAAAGGATAAATCAAAGGATATATTGATAAACAGTATTAAATCACGGAATAGAGCTCTAGATGGTGATAAAGTTGTCGTAAAGATTCTTGACAAATCTCAATGGAGGGTATTCTATTTGACATTTAAAAAATATAATAACCCACACTAAAATTCAAAATGGTGACATCTTAATATTATCATTTTAATTTTGTTTATAGAACCCAGATACAGAAGATTGTCAACGAACTGGTGAGGTAGTTTACATATCAAGTAGCAAAGAAAATCGTATAGTAGTAGGTACTCTAATAGTCGATAGAGGTGTTCTTCATCGTTATAGCTCATTAGTTCCAAGAGACTGTCGAATTCCCAGATTACTTGTTGACACTTCAATTTGGCCGTATCCTATTTATTTGAGGAATGGAACCAAGGAATCAAAAGAATTGTTTTATGCTCTTTTACCAAACTGGGACAATTTTAAGTTTCCAAAAGGGTATATACTTGTGTCTTAAACATATGTAGTTTATAATGTATGATTTACTTTATTTTGGAAATACATTATGGTTTCTAGAATATTGAAAGGAGTTTTGGGTGAATCTGGAGAAATAAATGCAGAAACTGAAGGTATACTGATTTCCCATGATATACAAGAACGACCATACCCAGAAGATATAGATCAATATTTTCCTCCACAGTTTTCTGTGGAAGAAGAATTGAAACACAGGAAAGATTTTAGGTAATTTACTTACTAGTTACTCTCATAAATATAATTTAGTACTTCTATAGAAGTAATTTTTTTTTCTATAGAAAAAACTGTATCTTCTCTATTGACCCCCCCACTGCCAAAGATCTAGACGACGCGCTTTCCTGTGTACCACTTCCGAATGGCAATTTTGAAATTGGTATTCACATTTCAGATGTGTCTTATTTTGTTAAGCAAGGTACACCACTAGATGAAATTGCAGAAAGATTGGCCACTAGTGTTTATTTAATACAAAAAGTAAGCTTTAAATATGAATAATTTGTTCTTACACTCAAAGAGTTAATTCAAACCAAATCAAATTGTTTAACACTAACAGGTGTATCATATGTTACCTCCAGCATTGACTATGATGGCATCATTACTACCCGGAACCGATAAATTAGCTGTTTCTATCACTTTGGAAATGACACCTGACGCTGACGTGATTAGTCACTCTTTTAGTCGATCTATTATACATTCTTGTGCTCAATTGCATTATTCACATGCTCAAGTATGTTTCCATTGCTATTTGCTGTATTGTTATTTATTAATAATGTTTGAGTATTCAATTTTGAGCTTTAGTCTTAACTATTTAATTTACTATGTATTATACATATATCATAATTAATAATTTGAGAACCTGTGTATTCTAGATATTTTTAGAGAATCCTGATAAAAAAGATTGGGACGAATCTGAGTTTCCTACTGTATATAATGGTTATACAATCAATGACTGTGCAACAGCTGTCAGCCATTTACATAAGCTCGCAGCAGTGATGCGAGAGAGACGTTTTAGCTCTGGTGCGCTAGCGATCAACCAACCTAAGTTGTCTTTTGAAATTGACAGAGCTACATGCGAGCCACTGTCATATTCATTGTATATACTTCACGAGAGTAATTGGTTTGTGAACAGTATACTTAATTATTTATCAATTGATATGCTAGGGAATTTAATTAATTTTTTCTTGATACTACAGGTTAATAGAAGAATTCATGCTTCTCGCTAATACAATGGTCGCTGAACATTTGAAGACTCACTACCCGACCACAGCCATGCTTAGAAATCATCAAGCACCAGATGCTGCTGCTATGGAAAAAGCAGTGAAACTATTGAAAGTACACAACATTGATATTGATTATACTTCAGCTGGATCTATTCATAAGTCTAAAGCTGCTTATTGTCAAGGTGAAAATTCGGAGAATCCTCATTGGGACATTATTATCAGCAATATTCTTTCAAAGCCGATGGTTGTAAGTAATAATAATAATGAAATTAATTACACAAATTAAAATGTTAAAAATGCATTCAAAGGTTGATTTTGTATTTTCTAGCGTGCCGAATACTGTGTTATCGATCCAGATTTATCCATGCGTCATTTTGCACTAAACGTACCGTACTATACTCATTTCACTTCTCCCATTCGTAGGTATCCAGACATAGTTGTGCATCGAATGCTAATATCATGGTTAACAGGCGAACCAATTAAGGAATATGAAGACCCAAAAGTTATTAACAAGTAACGTTTATTTTGTTAAATTACATTGTTGATAACCAACTAACCAAATTTCATTGCAAATTTTTAGGATAGCCATCAACAGTAATGACAAAAAGAATAATGCGAAGAAAGCGTCAGAAGCTAGTGCAGATATATACGCTGCTTGTTTGGTCGGTAAACTAGGAGGCCTAGTGGTTGACGCGTCCGTAATGGAAGTAAAAGAAAACTATTTTGAAGCCACAGTCCTCTCGATGAACATGAACGTCAGAGTTTACGTGAATATTGTAAGTGTAACTGTTGGCTTAACATTTTGTTTTCTATTAATTTACCCTCGAATGAAATTCTATGGTTCAATTTTTTTATTTCAGTCTTCACATAACCCAGATTTGCTTCACAAATTCTGTAAATTAACAAGTGTTGATGATAAACCCACATTGATCATTGGTTGGGATTCTAAAGGTGAAGACAAGCAAACACTTCAACTGTTTGATAAAGTTAAATTGAAGCTATCGAAAAGAGAACATTGTTTAAAAATAAGAGCCATTTTAATCAGAGACGAATAGACTTCTATTTATTGTGATTCATTACATAGTGTATTTAATATTAATACATTATTTTTTTTTTTTTTTTATATAATCATTGTTTTCAAGTTTTTAATGAAAAGAGATGTTGTTTATTAATATAATTTTTATCAATAAATACATTTATACTTTTTGACTTTCAAGTGTAAGCTCAATCAACAACATCAACATAATACAAAAACATTAACACGCGTTTTACGATGGGATACAGTACAGAGTTTATTAATTTATATATCATAATTTTATTAAGTTGAATAACATTTAAAATATCATAGGTTATTTTAGAGTATATATAAATATCATATAACTTAAAATATGCAATACAATAATATAATATATAATAAATATATTACATAATAATTAATATATTATATAAATATATTGACGTTTAAAAAAAAAAAAAAAAAACAATTATCTTACACAAAAATTTATACAAATAAGAAATAAAAATAATAATAATAATAATAATAATAATAATAAAGACATTAAACAATTCACCATAATATTATAGCTTACTAATTTTGACCCGAAACCGAACTTGTATGATTATAATTTACAAGTCTTCTACCGACTAAATATTTATCATTTTTAATGTGTTCGTAGAGTCTTTTAAATTGACGCACTTGCATCATCATTCCTTTAACAATGGCCATCGTGAGCATAATTGCTGGATATATTCTTCTAGCTATCAGCAATCGTGTGCCATGATTTTTAAAAATTATAGGAGTTACAGAGTACGCAATCACATACGGTACAGCTAGAAACAAGCTGAGAACGGCAATCACGGGAATGGCCAGGTCTTGCATCATCAACTTGAGGTCCAAACGCATAAAACCATCTCTGTATGTACGTTCAATAGCTCGCCTTAGAGACCAATCAGGTCCCATAAGGGTGATGGCGCATGCAATTTTCATGTATAAAACCCCAAGTGCCCAATCTTGCCATGCCCAGAGTACAGGTGTTTGGTGTAAAGGCACTCTGAATGGCACTACCATAACAAGTTCTAAGAGTAGACCAAACAAAAACGGTATTATACCGAGTAGTACAATAAATGCAACCATAGCTTTTGAACTAATCTTAAGCCAAAACTTCAATCGATTGATGACAACGGCACGTCCTTCTGGCAGCCATCCCGCTATGAAACACACGGCTCGCACCGACAACCAACATATGTATGTGCCACATGCTGCTGTATAAAGTTCGTGTATGTTGGGCAACTGAGATGATTCTGGGGCAGACGGCAGTAGTGCCGGCCAAAATGACATGGCCAAACGACCCAACCATACAGGTATGGTTATGATCGACAAACTGATAACGACTACAGATAGAGCCACTAGGACGAGTAAGGCGATCAGACGTATAGCAAAGTTAGTGGGGCGAGTGTAAGGTCGAAAACCTACAGGTCCGCCACGTCTTAACAATCCCTCATGAGCTGCTCCCAAATCAGCTGCAGGTGGATGTATGGGCGCCACAACTGGGGGTAATTCTTCTCCGTCGCCAAGTAGATATGATTTTATTCCAAGCAAATGTGAGACAATAAGACACCAGAAACGAATGCCTATTTTTAGCCAATTGCGAGTATGTGTTTGTTCCAGTAGGGCTGGTAAAACGACTTGTAGAAGTAATAGCTCCATGGACAGTTCATTGACGGAATCGCTGTGCAAAGTTACATTATATGGTAAAAATGATGGCCAAATAAATTTCAGGATTCGTATCGGTAGCCACACAACAAGAAAGACAGCTGTACCAAATATCATAGCTGACGCAATGAGCCTTCGCCCATGTTGCAACATGCCTTGTTGTATTAGTTCCTAAAAAAATTTAATTGATAAGCATCGAGTAATCTTCCAATGTTTACGTGAATATAATACCTGTATAGGACTAAAGTCTGGATCGTTTAAATTCCGTAAGAACCATAATACACCAGGTCGGACAACTTCTCGAAGAAGTAGTACAAATGAAGCAAAGTAATACACATACACCATCCCAACTAGCCAATGGATGAACATGGATGTACCAGGAGCTAAACGAAAACTTGCTAGCCTATCTTTGAAACTTGTGTCAAACATTGACAACGAACATATATCCAACCACCAACCGCATACTAAAGGTAGTACTCCAATTTCAACAACTGATAACAAGGACACCTAATAAAAACGAATAAACATTACATGAAATCTATACACCATCATTTTAATAGGTTTATGTAATTGAAAACTAGTATATTATTCTTACTTTTACTACAATATAACTAAGTCCAATTATACGTTTAGATCTTCTAAATCCAATAATAGTCGCAACGGTGTGCATGATCAACAGGCACATACCAATGAGACAGTATCCACATAGTGTGGTGACCAAACCTTCAAAATGTGAAGCAGCTACCTTTTCTTGTAAAGACATTGCAGTGATTGCCAGATTACCCATTTGATATGGACAAAATGCAAACACCAATATAAATAACGCATTCATAGACACCACCCAAAACACGTGTTCTAAAAACACCAATGAACCATCTAATCCCAAAAGTCGTTCCCAAGTCAAATCTTCAGCAGCTCGATCACCCCAGTCTATTGGATTCCAATGTCCTTCATCAACTTGATTTCCATTTTCTTGACGAACTTCTCCGTCAGCCTATTAAGAATAAATAATGTTATTATATAGCCATTTAAGATATATATCATAAGACATCATACCTCTTCTATAGGATTTTCTTCAGGAATAGGAGGCAACAGTACATTGAGTTGTTGCTGATTATTTGGTTCGTCTCTTTCTAACCAATCTGGACCACCACCATGCAATATTTGTTCACGTAGCCAAATTAATCCAATAAATGCAAACAATGTGCAAGTCACAACAAAACAGCCATGAAATATATCACCAGAAATGTTCTTTGATGACCACATATCAAGAGGCAATGACATTACCTACATTTGTTTTGAAAATATAAGTAAGATAAAATAAAATAATTTTAATTTAATAAATCACTTACAGCATCAAAAGAACCATTAAACAGGCTTCGGTAAATCCTACATGCTGTAAAAGGTACAACGCACAGCCAAGCCAGTCCAACTAATGTAAAATGCAACCAATATTTTATGCCAGTCAAAACACTTGAAGTGATACCAGCAGCAACATCTTTAATAGGTAATCGTCGAGGCATGTCTGGGGCATATATTGGTGTGAATGAAAATCGATAGCTACAAAGCTCACAATACTCTTTACGGCTATAACGCATCCATTGTACCAAGCACTCTTGATGAATGTACTTAATGCTACCTGTACAAATGCAAGGATGAAACAATGGCCGTTCTGGCATGCCTTCTGATCGGCACACCCTGCAAATATCTGCTCCTTGAGAAGGGTCGTCCATATTGCAGTTGCGGATGGAATACTGTTCTATGAATCTAAAATTCATTTAAAAAAAAAAAATAAAACAAATAGGTAATGACCAAATTTTTAACAAAAATAAAATAATATTACAATGCTTAAATGATATTGAATAATGTTATCAGTAATTTTTTTAACCAACAACATGTGTGTGGATAATGCATATACAAATCCCAATCATAATATAGTACAATAAACTGATAGTAATAAAAAGACAATTAATTGCCTTATTAGTTATTACTTATTATGACGACTATCAATGAAATTATAAAATAAAAAAACATGTTTATTATTATCTTGTGATATATGTTGGTATATAATGGCATATGACGGTAGACACAGTTATTTAAAAATTTTTGATAATTAGAATAAATAAAAATTCTGGAAAAATAATAAATGAATGTATTTAAATTGATGTACATACTTGATGATATACCTAAGTAATAGGTAATGCAACAAAATATCAAAGTTTAGGGAAACCAATTTATATCATTATTTATCATCATTTATCAACACTACCTAAATATGTATACTTTTTTTTTTTTAATGATCATTAACTAAGAAAAAATTAATACTTAAAGGTTAACTTAAAAAAAAAACAAGTTTATAAAAGGTAAAGAAAGAGTTGTACATTTACAGAAAGATAAATAATAATAATTATAGATACTTGTTAAAACCAAAAATATACATATTTCACCGGTAAAAAATATTAGAAATATGACAAATATATTAGAACTGATTTTTATTTAACTTAATTGTTTTTGTTTAGGCAATTATACTAAAGTATCAATGTTTGATTTTAGAAGAAAACCACAGATAGTACAAGCAAATTTTACATAAATATTGCCAAAATATATTTATTGTGGATATCTAATATTAAATATATACTCATATAATGTTATTCAAAAATAATTTAGCATTTAACAATAGTGTCAAAAAAATAAGTTATTAGGTAGTTAAAGTTTTTTTTTTATAGATATAAAAATAAAATGCTTATTTCACAGTTTTTTCTATTATCATTGATTTTAGAATATACTTCTTGAATATATAATATAATCCTAGCCTACATAATATTACATAACTAACATAATTTATAGCTACCAAAGGAATATTATAATATTCTTTAGGATTAATAATATTTAAGTGAAATTAGATAAAATATAAATAATTTACTGATATTAATGGTGACTATTGATTGGTCATTGTCTATAACTTAAATGTTGTTGTACATTAATGACTTACTAATAATTAATGGGAATGATATCAAAGATATTTCAATGAGTTTAATAAACATAAATAGATGATATTTTGATATATAATATTGTTTTATGAGCAAGAATATCATTATGTTTGATTGAGAATTATCATAATTAAATGATATGTTACAGTAAACAAGCAATAAATACGAAAAAATTATTGATGGAGATACAAGAAGTATACACACCACAAATATTAAATATCTAGGTCTTAAATGTATGTAATTAAGTATGAAAATTTTGTTTTACATTAAATGTTACTTACTGCTGTTATGTAGCTTAATTGCATTTTAATATCTATTTTTTTTTTAAATAAATTATAGTCAGTAAATAATAATAATAATAATTTGTTTTTGATTTCAAGGAAATTTCTCTGGTCATCTTTTATAAAAACAAGTAATTTTCCTGACTTTTAAAAATATTGTAGTTTCTATTATACAATCATAAGTTTAAAGTATGTATTACACAATATAATGGAACGACTAACATATTTTTACAAACATTGTAAATTGAAATAGATACCTTATATTCCATTATAAATAATTATTGATTTTAGTTAATTTCTCAGTATTATGTATCAGCATACAATATATATGATGTATATATAATATAAATATTATATCAAAAATACAAATATTATAACAGC